GGGACGAAGTATATTTAGCACATCAGATTAATGATTATGTAATGATTGCATTCAATTGGTACGGCTCAAATTCTGTATTAGGTTTTATCATTTGTTACGTAGTTCTTTAGTTTATCTAAGAATATACATCGTTCCACTGTAACAAAGGCTTTTTATAAGCTGATACGTACTAAGTAAACTTAAGTTTTTTGTTTGGGTATTTATTCTTTGATTATAGTAGCGGTATATCCTCAGGTATTACGTTACTATAATTTGAGGTTTTGTTATTTACCAACTTGTTTGACTTTTTATGAAATAATATTCTGTACCAACAATATAATAAGCATTATACCCATATCATAAACCATGTAATATACAATAAATAATTAACAAACAAAAAATTAAAAAGTTAATTTGCAGAATATTACCCTCAATGAAAGCTAAAAAAATTGATATCGTTATATTAAAAGGAAACAAAAAACAACGACAACAAAAATGCTAACTTCCTTTGTCAAGTACATCCACTAAAATATATATATATATATATATATATATATATATATATATATATATATATATATATATATATATATATATATATATATATATAATATATATATATATATATGTATATATATATATATATATATATATGTATATATATATATATATATATATATATATATATATATATATATATATATATATATATATATATATATATACATATATGTATATATATATATATACCTAGTGGGCACGGACGTAAAATAGATGTCTTTATAACGTCTTATACACCTTTTGGACGTCTTTTGAACGTTCAAAAGACGTCTTTTTTAGATCCGGTGCCCACGGGATATATATATATATATATATATATATATATATATATATATATATATATATATATATATATATATATATATATATATATATGTATATATATATATATATATATATATATATATATATATATGTATATATATATATATATATATATATATATTTATATTTATATATTTATATATATATAATATATATATCAGGGGTCGAAACAATTGCCTAGTGGGCACTGGACCAAAAAAAGACGTCCAAAACGTTCAAAAGACGTTCAAAAGACGTCCAAAACGTGTATAAGATGTTTAAAAGACGTCTTTTTTACGTCCGTGTCCACTGGGTGTCGGACATTGGTGTCCCTAGGGCTGTTTTTGAGACTTGTTTGAGGTGGGCAGCCCACCATTATTTATTTTTACTGAAAAAATGAACAATGACTTCAGCATTTATATAATAAAATTTGACTTGAAAATATACAATAAAATATAAATAATAATACAAAACGCAAACTCAGAAAAAAAAAAGCAAAACTGAACTGCATCCCAAGAACTGCAACAGAAAATGCCTATTTATAAAATACGCTAAATAAATTATTTGGAATTTGATTTATACTTCCGTCTACGATTATAATATCTCGTAATTGATATTACAATAAAAACAAATTATTTAGTAATTATTTTACGTAACATTTAATAAATACCTAAATTAAGTAACGTATTGATTTAAATAGGTCAACAAATCAAAAAATAAGTCAAAGTTTATCGCTACTAAAATGCTTTTTATAATAGTTTTAACTAACCTAATTCATTCAATTGTATCCAAAGAGCTTCAATCAGGTAATTCACGTTTTTTAATTAGAATCTTAGAAAACAATTTAACCTGCAAAGTAATTATTAAATTTATTTAAGACTTTTGTATGGGAAAGGGTATTCAAAACAAACATCCTGAAGAATGCGATAAGTTTGTTACCTGTCTTTTGGATATCGCATATGTCATAAACTGCCCTTCGCCGTTACATTGGAACGCTAAATTTCATATATGTGATTGGAAGGAATATGCAGGCTGTGAAAGTAACTTTTATTTAAAATAAAAATATTTTGTTAATGCCAAGTAAAATTTATAGTTTTATTACAGTTTTTTTTATTTCTGTTTTTTTTTTTTTTTTTTTGATTTATTTGGTTGAACTATATTGTTTGATGCTTTTGTTTGATTTTAATGACAAAGTACCGGAACAAGGATTTAACGTTTTTGTGAATGATTTCCTTGAAAATCTCAAATGTTTTTTTTTTTTTTTTTTTTTTTTTTTTTGCTTAAAAAAAACGCTTTTCATGCTTAACTAAAAATAGTTAACTGTTTTAAAATTGTTTTGAAAAAAAATTTACTAACTTAAATTACAATTATTTGTTTTATTTTGTTTATGACTTTCCGAACCGCTGACTCCCGTAAACAATAATAATTTTCATTAATACTTTTCAAAATTTAAATTATAATTTTCCATAATTTAATAAACAAATATCATTTTTTTGCGCGTATTAAATTTTATTTGTTAAATATCTCTCATATCTTATTGGTCAAAAATACTAATAAAAATAGATTTGTATTTAGGTAGATCCAAATACGCTTCCAGATTTTCCAAAGGTTGTTTGAAACCAAATTACAATCGTTGGTTTGTTTACACTTTAAAATCCTTTGGGTTGGTGAATCATCCTTTGGATTATTTATCTTAAAACTTAACGGAAGGGAGGTTATCAATCCAAAGGATGGTTCACCTCCCTCCCGTTTTAATAACCTAACAGTGAATGAAATCTAAGATAAAAATAATATGAAATTAATATAATACTAATATGAAATAAAAGTTACAAAAGCCACTAGTATGAAATAAAAGTTAATCATTTATATTATTATTACATATTATTTTAGTTTAATACACTAGTTTTAAATTTCCTGATAAATTAACAGTCTTGACAAACCAAGTTAATCAGAAAAATGTTCCTAATACTGAATGCGTATCTAGTAAAAAACAAGGAAACATTTTTTATGCTAGTTTATAACCAGCAAGAACTTGGTCCAAAAAATCTCCTACCACCTCCCCCTCTCCTCGGAACCTGTCTTTAGCACCTCAATTTCTTAAAAAATCAAATAAAAGAAAAGAAAAAACAAGCTCCTAAAATTTTAAAAATTTGCTAAATAAAATCCTAAATTCTGTCCCAAAAATATTAATAGCCTAGCCACAGTATAAAACACATTTACTAACAAAATTTTAGTATGCTGATTTTAAATATACAAGTTATTTACTCCAGACATCAATTGTGTTTCAGATATTATACATCAAAAGTTTTACTATGTTTATCAATGAGTTATTGTAAATAATTTAAAACACGCAAGTTATATTTAGTCTTCTATTGCAACCTAATGGTGGAATAATTTTCAAAAATTCTCATTAAGTTTATATTATCAAAAATATTGAATACAACTAACTTGAAAGCTACCCCATGCATGTTTTTTAACAATAGTTTATAAGTCATTAAAATTTCTGTCTGCATTATATGTTTCTTATTTATTGATCTGTAAATACACTTTTACTTTTGCATCACTTTTTTTTTTTTTCTGGATCTATAAATCTTTCTTCCTTCTTTTGTTCAATTTTGCATTACTGAAAACTTCTAATGTCTTTACAAATTTTTTCATTAACTCTATTAAACTTTTTTTTTCGATTTAACAAATAACGGCACACAAAAGACAGCACAAAAACAACTTAATTAAAGCATAAATTGCAATACAATTCAATTTATGCTTTAATTTATGGAATAACTAAATAATCAATAATAATTAAAAGCAGGGGCTTTAATGTTAAAAAACAATGACAAATATAAATTAAAATAAAAATTATTTAATATGCACCTAAATGTCAGCTAATTATTTACAACTTATACCTGATTAAAAAAATGCTAAATATTACTAAATATGGAGATGTTTTTGGTTGAAAAATAAAATCTGCATTTAAGTACCAGTTATAACATTCACTTCGGGAAAATAAAATCTCAGCAGTCATATTTTCTTTTTACAAATTGTGGTCCATTAATATGGAATTATTTCTTAAACAAAACTTTTAAAGCAGTAATATGGAACATTAAGTTGCTTAAACGGCAAACTAAATTGCATTTTCCTAATTCCAGACATATATATTTTATTGTTTATATTAGTTTATCTTTGTACTATTTTACAAAAGATATATAGTTATACTTATATTCAAATTTTCTAAAGTTTTGTTTAAAATAAGAATGTTATTTTTATTATTGAGTTTTTTGTTTAGTTTTTGTTTTTATTTTACAAACGTTGTTTAAACAAGAGTTTTCCTGATTTTTATTTGTAAAAAAACATGTGACCTTTTCTTATTTTTTTACTTATTTATTTAACAAAAAATTGAAAAAAATTACAGATTTATTAATAATTTTACAAAATTTCGGTGTCACTTGTTTAGTTAAAAACTAGTCATCGAACACCTTTATAAAATAAAATAAACAAATAAAGCAAAAAACAAAAACAAACAAACAACAAAAACTGATAAGATAGGTGACCAAAAAATAAAAATAAAAACAGTAACTATTAAAAAAAGCCAGACTGATAATAAAAAAGGAAAAATGAATCAGCAGACATGATAGATACGGAATGAATGATTCAACACAACGTTAACAATAAGAAGGGAGATAGAAAATAAAAAAGAAAACAAAAAGAAAAAAAAAAAAAGTTTTAATATTATGACATGACACAAAAATATGAAATCACTTGAATAATAGCAACAAATAAAAAGCAAAACCAGAAAAAAAAAAAATAATAATAAAGCACGACAATATAAACAGTCCACAAACAAACACTTCAATATAAACGATGCCCAAAATTGCACATTAATTAAAACAAAATTATTACATTCTTTGCTATTTATTTTACAATTAAATAAACTCATTTTAGTTGACTCATCAACGTTTACAAAAGTTACAACAACAACAACAACAGCCTCAACAAATCAGCAACAAATTTCGACATTCAAAGAGTCAATTGGAGAGTCGAAGTCAAAATATTGTGAGAAAATATTTACTCAAAACTAATCTTTAAAATTTAAAAAGAAATTTATATTAATAAAAGTTTTTAATAAAACTTAAGAATTTTTCCTTTTTATTTAGATTATGATAAAAAACTGTTTACAACAACTGGTACCATGGCAACAATAAGATTAGCAACTAATAGTGTAAAAGCAACAACATCTGCAACAATAGGAACACCAGGTTAGCATAACTGAGTTTAGTAAACTGGTTTAATTTTTTTTTTAAACTAAAATGCTTAACTCGTGCAGTTTTATTTAAAGAACTTTGTCAAATGCCTTACCAAAACTGATTAAGAGAATACAGGTAAAAAGGTTACCCATTAACATTTTCTTTCTGAGTGTAACTTGCTACTTTAGTAGATTTGTGGATTTGTCAAAATGCTTCCGACTGCTTTATTTTTAAAACATTTATTAGTTTTAAAGCTGAATACAAAGTTTAGGCTGTTGTTTTTAGGCTTAGGTTTTTGTTCAAGGTTTAAAATTATTTGTATTACTTTTGTTTGCATTAAATATTCAAATATTTATTTTATCTGGAAAAAAAAATCAAATGAAACTGCGCAAACCATTTAGAAAAACAACTGCGGAACTAACTTAAAAATAATTCCTTTAAAAAATTAAAGATTTAAGAAATTACAAACTTTTAAATCATTTAGATAAAAATAATGTTTTAAAAGTAAAGAGATTAGGGGAGGTCGGGGGAATAGTGGCTCTTTTTTTTTTTTTTTTTTTTATTTGCCTTTTTTAGGGTTGTATTATAACGGTCCGAGCTGTAACTATGGTAGAAGAGCTACTACAATGTATATTAAAAAGTACTTTAATGGCAAATACGTACAAAAAATAATTAACGTATTATTACAAGAAATAAATTGAACAAAATTGGCCATTATTATCCCATAAATTGGCTGCAATTGTGGCAGCATACCCCAATTCTTTTGTCGAATACGAAAAAGTGTTTAAGAGAATAAGTTTATGAGTTTAAGAAATAATAATAATAAGTAGTATTAAATACAACAGTAACAAATATAAATAATGTTAATAAGGATCTGTACAGTCTTTATGGGCCCATTCACCACATGCAGCACAGGTTACGCACCATTCTCGGTTTTTACCAAATTCCCCACAAATCAAACAAATATCTAAAGACTTTTCATAACCCCAAAATGAACCAATTAACAAAAAAAAAAAAAACATATTTGCGAATAAGAAGCTACTTATATTATATATTTAAAAACTAGATATATGTTATTATTGGTGTTGTTTACACTTAAATTACACAAATATAAAAATATCATGTCCATAAAGCGTGTACACAAAATAAATGTGAAATAGTAAATACGTCATTTTTTTTCAGTTGTTGTATCAGCATATTTTCAATTGCGTCCATATTTTGTCGGCAACATATAACAATTTCAAAAAAATGTTTTAGTTTTCGCATTTAACTTAAAATAAGTTTAAAAAATGACAAGAGATGAAGACGTTAGAAAAAATATTTTGCATAAATGTTTGAAAAATCCGAATAAAAGCTATTTTTCTTATTTAAGTTCAATAGCAGAAAAGTTGAAAATAAATTCGTTTGTCATGTTATTTAACATTTTTCCTAAAGAAAATTGATTAAATGCAAATCTGGTTATGGTGGGAAAAGGTTTTTCAAGATATAAAACTAGTTAGAAAACTGGTTAATAGTTTTATGAATAATCCAAGTCTCTCACTAAGAAAAAGTTTAAAATAAACATGTTATTCAAGCTATCAAAACACAAAAGTGCCCAAACGTTCTAAAATTCAAAATAAAAGTGCAAGAACCGGCTGAAGAAAGTTTTATGACAAGTATTTTTTTAAAAGTGCAAGAACTCGCTAAACTACAAAATCTCAGCGTACCGCTCAGGTATGTATTATTATAGCATGCATAGAAATACATTCTTAATAAGATAAAATATTTAAATAGTAAATTAATTTATTACACCAATCTGTTATTTTAAGTTTAAGGGCGCTAAAACTTTGGCTTTACATTTAAAACAATATATAATTTATATCAATTGACAAATATTTCTTTCTTTTAGGTAACATAACACTTCCGCATTTTGAACCAACTAAAAAAACATACGGTAACATTTATGTAATATTTATAACTAAATATTTCTCAAATCTTTAATATTTACCTTTATATTATTTAAGTATTTCAATTAAAATATTTTACAAAGAATTTGATTATTCTTTGATTATTCTGGAGATAAAAGATAAACTCTGTTGTTCCGGAGATTAAATTTTACCTTGTTGTTTCCGATATAAAACTTAAAACAAAGATTTGAAAATTTTTAACTGCTCATTATTAAAACCTGCTTCTATTGCCCATACTGTAGGAACTTGTTTTATCGCGCATCGGTCTTGTTCATCAAGGTTCGTCCCAGCAGGCACAATGACGTTGAAATAACGCTGAAACAACGTCGCAAACCGACCATATGCCACGTTAAAACAACGTTGAAATTTGGTTGAATTGGAAATAAAATCCGACGTCGAAAACAACGACGTTGAAACCACGTCGATAATTACGTTGTTTCAACGTTGATCTAACGTCTTATCGACTATACCAACCATATTTCGAATATAGCAACTATATTTCAACTTTGAATAGGTGATATATTCGATTGATACGTAGTTGTTAAGACGTTAGAACAACGTTGAAACAACGTAAATTCAACGTAGATTTTTGTTTTTTATTTTGGTTAAATCCAATTAACTTAAAAAGTATCTCAACTTTAATTGCAATAAAATAACACAATAAAAAAGCAATAATTTGCGCGAAGAATATTCTAAACGTAAATTAATCAGATACAACTAAACTGCTTCAAGGGACTTTATATACAATGCAAAAATAGCTATTATCAATAATAGCTATTATCAATAGTTCCAGAACAACTAGGAAAAAGTGTGAATGTTATACATCTGGTGAATCGCCTTTTACGCGCCGACCACCACCATTTTATCTGTCGAGTGCGTATTTTAATAAAGTCATTATTCTTTTTCTTATTTCGGTAACTATAGCAGTCACTTTAATTGACAAGACGCTCTCAATAAAAAAAGGTATTGCCTGAGTAATTTGCATCAAATACATCTAAAAGTTAAAAATTAAATAGCATTAAAAAAACGAACTGTGATTTTAAAAAAATATAATTTTACACTTAACTTACAAGTAAATACCTAATGTTTGTTCCTTTAAACTTCTCTTTACCTTTACCGCTAGCCATATTAAATTTTGATTATATACCATTGGTCAACAATTAGCATTATACATTGCTATTATTATTATAATTACATTAAAAATTGATAAACATGTCTTTTACAAAATACAAAATATTCTCAATGAAAAATTGCACAAACCGCAAAGGTTTCTTACCAAATCGTAATGCAAGTAAGAAAAAAAATTGATACAGGGGAAGAGTTTGGTCAAAAGAGACCACCTTCCAAACGCAAGAAAACACCAAGAGCGGACAGTATAATCATAAATATCTACCTGGAAAACAGAAAAAAAGCCACTAAACTTATTGCCTAAGCTTATCCATAAAGCTGTAATTGTTGTATCAGACCGGACCATTTGTAGAAGACTAAAAGAAGAGGGATTGATGTTTATCCAAAAATGTCAAAAAATAACAAAAAAATTCAAAAATTATAAAAATAATGTTAAAAATCTTATATTTATGCAAGATGGTGCAACTTGCCACACAATAAAAACTGTTATGGCTTAGTTGATGTATTGCTATGGCCAGACAACTCGCATAATCTTATCCCCATAGAAAACAATTGGGAAATAATAAAGCAAGAGATTGGAAAATAAAAAATCTTACTAATAAGCAAAATCTTATAGAAGAGATTATTAAGATCTGGCATAATAACCCAGAGTTGACAGAAACTACAAAAAATAAATTGCAAGCATGTCACAATGTGTTGAAGCAGTTATTGCAAATAAAAGTGTTTTTGCAAAATATTTATACTTAATATATATTTTATATAATTTATCATAATAATCAATAAATATTCAAAATGTTCAATTTTATTTGTTTATTTTTATCAAGTACAACTTTATAAATAAAAGAAAAAACTTTAAATTGAACTTTTTTTTTATATATATAAATATATATATATATATATATATTGCACCATTATTTTATATATATATATATATATATATATATATATATATATATATATATATATATATATATATATATATATATATATATATATATATATATATATATATGTATATATATATATATATATATATATATATATATATATATATATACATATATATATATATATATATATATATATATATATATATATATATATATATATATATATATATATATATATATATATATATATATATATACATACATATGTATGTTTATTTATGTACATGTCTATGTATATACATAGAGTAAAAAAAAAGGTTAAGTATGCATTACAAATCAACCCAGTGGGCACTGGACCAAAAAAAGGCGTCTTTTGGACATTCAAAAGACGTCCAAAACGTTCAAAAGACGTTCAAAAAACGTGTATAAGATGTTTAAAAGACATCTTTTTTACGTCCGTGTCCACTGGGAACCTTTGTACTTTAAGGTTGTTCTTTATCTCAAGGAAATACAAAAGTAAGTGAAAACAGTTTCAAAAAAAAATCTAATCAGACATAAAAAAAGATTTATTTTATGTCTGATTAGAATTTGTCAAACTTTTAAAAATATATGCTAAACATATTTTTGACAAAAGTTTAAAACGAACTATAATAAAAAGATTCGAAAGATTTTTTATTTAAAACTACTTTTAAGAAACCTTTGCATCACATTTTTTGTATTTGTCTTAATGGTTTTACCTCTATTTTTAGAAAGTTTGTTAACCTAAAAGTTTAAGAAAATAATTACACCACATTATTTTTATAGTACATTTATAAAAAGTTACAAGTAGATTAACTTAGGCTAAGTTATTATTAAATACTTATTCAAAAAACAATAAAAAAAACTGCAAAAAGTCATGGTTTGAAACAACCCATCATTCCAGACCTCACCCAAGAATCATTTAAACTGTTATCATAATCACTAAATTACTGCTGCAAGTTCATCCATAGAATTTCAGAACTATTTGTCATGATATTACTTTAATTACTGAAAAGAGCTTTAACTAACATCTCTTTCTAACAATAAAGATATATCAGAAAGTCAAAAGAACTAAACATTAATTAATTTCTAAAAATGTTGAAATACAAGAACAAAACATTTATAAAATAAAACATTCATAAATTAAATAAAATGTATTAATTTAGCAATCAATAAAATGTGTAAATCACTGAAGCATAGAAAAAAATGTTCAGAATCTTTTCTTTCTAAATCAACTTGCAGATAGACAAATTTTTTCATTAAATATGATTTGTTATATAATATTTAATGAAAAAATTTGTTTAAATTCTACTTTAAACAAATAAACCAATTCTCCAATTTGATGAAATATCATAGTTATTAAAAAAGATATATATAATATTTATCTAACTGACTGCATCACAAGTAAAGTCAGTTTTTAAGTTGTCAAATTCACAACTTTATTAAATAAATAACAAAAGATAATAAATAAAGAATTATACAGTTACGCATTCGTACATGTCAAAGTCGAAACTAAGACATTAAAACAACGTTAAATCAATGTCAAATTAAGTTGATAATTTTAAATAAATTTTCAACGTCAATAAATGGTTTACATTTGTTTAACTGACATTGCAACTAAAAGTCAACCGAATATCAACGTTGAAACAACGTTGAGTGTCCCCAGTGGGCACACGACGTTATTTCGACGTTGATTTACAGTTGATTTATAGTCGCGACGTCGTATAACCAAAAATCAACGTTGAATCAACCTTGAAAAATTTGTTTAAAACTATTAAATAAAATCGACGTTGATTCCACGTTAATTCAACGTCTATATTACGAGTTCGAGCGTTCGTAATTGCAATATGAGAACTAAAATACGCATGCGTGACTTGAAAAATTTTTATCAGCATAACAAATAACAAGTGAAGACTTAAAAAGTTATTTATTAGCCCAGTAAAGTCACACATGCTAATAATTAGGCCATCTGTTGCCTTTTTATAAGGTTTTGAATTTGACAATTTAACAATAATACATGGCTTAACTTGTGATGCAGTTAGTTAGGTAAATATTAAATGGATATTTCTTTATGACCGTATTATTTCATGTGTGGATTAATAGTAGAGATTATTTGAATTATTTTTACAGTTTTTTAAGTAAGTTTTTTTTTTAGAGTTTGATTAAATTGTTTTTACTATGTATGTTAGTATATTTGACAATACTAGTTTGTATATATATATATATATATATATATATATATATATATATATATATATATATATATATATATATATATATATATATATATATATATATATATATATATATATATATTGTGTATATATATATATTATTTGTATATATATATATATATATATATATATATATATATATATATATATATATATATATATATTTTTTTTTTTTTTATATATATAATATAAAAATATATATATATATATATATATATATATATATATATATATATATATATATATATATATACAAATAATATATATATATATACAAAATATATATATATATATATATATATATATAAATATATATATATATATAAATATATATATATATATATATATATATATATATATATATATATATATATATATATATATATATATATATATATATATATATATATGTATATGTATATATACAAACTAGTATTGTCAAATATACTAACATACATAGTAAAGTATATATATATATATATATATATATATATATATATATATATATATATATATATACTATATATATATATATATATATATATATATATATATATATATATATATATATATATATATATATATATATATATATATATATATATATATATATATATATATATATATATATATATATATATATATATATATATCAATCAATCAATCAATCAATATATTTCCACTTAATAACTAGTTATTAAGAGGAAATATATTGAT